AGTGACATGAGTAGATGTATGTGATAAAAGCAGTTCAGAAAAGCGAGATCTCAATAAGGCTGTCTCAGTTTCCAGACATGCTGGCTTAAAACAACTCGAACTAGGCTCAGTGACAGAGCCCTTAGAGCCTAGCATGCTCCAGGCCCTCGGACAGAACCCAGCACTGCAAAAACTAACACGAAACAAAATCAGAAGCCGTCCTCTCACAGAGCTGGAGGCCGCAAGTTCAAAACCAAAATGTTAGCTGAGCTGAGCTTGCTGCCCAGCTCTAGGAGAGTTCCACGCTGCTTCCAGCTTCCAGTGGCTCCAGGTGCCCTTGGCCTAGGGCAGCTCACTGCAGTCTCTGCCTCTGTCTTCAGGTGCCCTTCTTCTCTGTGTGTCCATGACAAACTTCCCTTTCTTTTCTCACATGGAGACACCGGGCATTAGACTTAGAGTCCACCCAAAATCCATGCAGACTTCCTTCTGAGAGCCTTCCATTGGGGTCCTGGTACATCTCAGAGTCCCTCTTTCCGAAGGGGTCACATTTTATGGGTCCTGGGGTCAGGTCTCACATATATCTTCCTGGGGGCTGCTCATCAACCCCTGCGGCAGGGGAATGGGCAGAGAAGGGAGAAGATCTGAGTTGGATTTGCTTACTTGTTTGTGGTGCTGGGGACAGAACCTAGGGCTTTGCCTGTGCCAGACAAGTGCTCTGCCACTGAAGCACAAGGAGGGGTCTGAACAGAACGGAGGAGCCGTGGGGCTGGGTCTAGTTCTGAACAGTGACCACGTCTCTCCATGTTTGGAGTACAGGGTTTTCATGAGCAAATGGGAGAGGCTAACCTCAAGATGACCCACAACTGCAGGAGAGGGAGATGAGATGCAGCTGAGTTGAATGGGGGCTAGAGAGGGGAACCCTGAGTTCTTGAGCAAGGCAGTGTTTGTCTGAGAAGAAATCAGCCAAAGAAGAGGGAAGAAATGGTTGAGATACAGAGAAATATGGTTAAAAGCCCATACCGAATGCAGAGAAACTGAGTTCAAGCTGGGCACTGTGGGACACTCCCATCATCCGAGCAATGGAGAAGCTGAGGCAAGAAGATCACAAGTTCAGGTGCCACCTAGACAACTTAGCGACTTAGCCAGACCCTGTCTCAAAATAAAAAATATAAAACCGGGTACGGTGGTGCACACCTGTAATCCCAGTACTCTGGGAGGCTGAGGCAGGAGAATTTAAAGTTCAAGTCCTACCTGGGCAAGTTAGTGACTTAGTAAGAGCCTGTCTCAGAAAACAAACTAATAAACAGAAAAACAATGTTTAAAGCACTAGGGGACTGGGTATGATGGTGCATGTTT